AAAGTGACAAAGAACAAAGATTGCAGTCATCTCCTCCCCTACCCTGAGCATGAACGTGGCCATGTCTCCGCCCCCCCAGCACGACTGCAATTTAGCCCATCATCCCTGCACGTGCCTGTCATCCCAACACCTTGCGAGCGGGGGGGAGATGGCCAAGATCACAGTTGCACTCGTGCAGGAAAGACAGGCGCAATCTCGGTCATCTCCCACTGCTCCCAGCACGATCACGGCCATCTCCCAACTTGGGGGGGGGGGGGGAGATAGCCATGATCATGGTCACCACCCAACGTGGAGGTTGTGACCAGATTCAAAACTTTTATAAAATTTTTATTTGCAACATGATTTGGTCGTGAACTGAGGCATCTGTGAGCCAAGGTACCACTGTATATGCAGAGACATAATTTGTAGAGATGGACTTGGGCTGCAGGACCTAGTGGATATTCAGTGAGTTTCTTTTTTTAAAGCTGTTTTATATTTTTTAATAAAAATATATTTTTTAGCAGATTCAGAAGTTGCTCCCCTCCATCTCTCCTCCTAATTTTTGCTCATGAAAAACTGCAATGCAAATTTTGATGCAGGATGCCACACATCATGTATTTCTATGGGTGTGCACTGATGTTAGTGCAGATTTATTACTGTCACTTGTTTGCTACTGGAGGTGGTTAAAACAGATGGTGTGGAGGCAACAGATCACTTCATCACCGCCTGTGCATTGCTTTTCAAAAAGTAATCCCCTGTGGATCACACTACCACGTATGTAAATGAGCTCTGTGCTCATGATGAGCTCATGATTGCTCTGCAGAAATGGTCCTAATCATATCAATATTATACTCAATGTTTTGCTGTGGACACATTTCAGGGGTGTCACCATCTCATTAACCAAAAGTGGGCCCGTATTTCCCATTGAAATACTAATAAGTTTATGTTGATTGAAATTGTTCTTCATTTTAAATATTGTATTTTTCTCCTTTTTTGCGCTACAAATAAGATATGTGCAGTGTGCATGGGAATTTGTTCATTTTTTTAAAACTATAGTCCCCCCCCAATAGTCTGAGGGACAGTGAACTGGCCCCGTTTAAAAAGTTTGAGGACCCCTGATCTAAACACTCCATTTATACCAGCAAGTAGCTGAAACATATTGAATGCCTTCAATGCAATTATCTTGCTAAGATGTTGTCAAATTGCAGCACCAAACAGAATGTTCTTTGCTGTTTTGACTATTTCAACATACAGGTGACATTTACCCACCCATCTGTGTCTTAATTATTTTTATTAGGTAGCAAAGAGCTGTTTTGGGTTCTGTCTCCTAACACATGCATCTCAAGTCCCATTTAGTGGCCACAATGGGCACAGACACCCCATTGTTCTCCAGTAACTACATTTTGTGTTGTTCAGTTTTGATTTCTTCCAACCTTTCTGTGTCCACTGAATCCACCACAAACAGAATGCATTGTGTATAGAACTTTCAGGGTGCTATAGCTTCTCCTCAATTCCAACAGCCCAGAAATGGAAGGTCTTGTTGGCCAGCATTAATGCATTCTGAAACCTCTGGTGGGGACAGTACTAATGAACTTGTTCAATTATCATGGGTTGGAGTATTGCTAGCATAATTAAGCCCCTGTATCATAATGTGGAAGCACTGGAAGAAATGCTCAACTTATTCAGCTTCTGTTTTTGCTCCAACAATCCACTTCCTCTCACAGAGGAGACCCCTGAGCTGAAGAGATGACCTCACCACAAGCTGCCTATCATGCATGCTGCTGGTCTCAGGCTCCTGGTTAAGGTCATTCCTGCAGCCAACTCTGTAAATGTCACCCTGAGCAGCCATTATCTTCCATTGTAAATAGAGAAATGGAAAGACCAGGCACATTCACCCAACTTTACCTCAGAAAGACAGGAAATAAAGGCAAGTAGCATAGGGTGGAAGAGCTGGTTTCTGCTGTAAACCTCCAGTATCTTGCCTTATACCTTCTGTGAAGTAGAGTATCAGAACTGAATCTATCAATCCACATGATCACTTGTGTCCCAGCAACCCCAGTCAAAAGTAGACAATAACATTCCAAATACAGCCTTAACAACTTTTGACAACATTCTGCACAACTGAGCACAGTGCACCCCATAACAAAAAACCCTTAACCTGCACCACCAGGGTTATATCACTAACCTTCAAACCACTATTTTAAAAACCTTCCTTAGTCACCTTTTATTGTAAGCAAGGTTGCTGCACAGAACCTCCATCCATATGCCTTTTTCTCCATTTTTAATCTTAACAATCAGTGAGGATTGTTTTTTTAGGAAAACTTGAATCTTTCTAGGGTAATTTACATTGGGTTACTGCCATCAGAATTTTTTCTGTTGCAGTACAGAGTGATCTAATTTAGCACATTTATTTTACTTATATTTAGTAAACAACAAAGCTAACTATCCCAAAGTATCCCATGTTCTTTTTTTCATCCTAATGCATCATAAGCTGCTGACCCAAGATCAGGGAGGGGAAAAATAAAGCACATTTAATGTGATTTCAGTACACTATGAAGTCATCTTTATTGGAATACTTGCCAAATTTAAAGGTAAGCAGGGAAAAAAAACTATTTTGAAAACTGTTCCCACTAATTCACTATTTCCCAACTTGATGCCCTCAAGACGTTTTGGACTGCAGTATCCAGGATTCCCTAGTCAGTATTTCCTGAAAGCATAGAATTGCAAAGGGCACCAGTTTGGGGAAAGCTACACTAAATAAGTTTAGCAACAATGCCACCTAGTTCCATATCACTTGTAAGCGATATATGTATTCTTGTACATACCTAACAGGGGTAATCACTTTAAAAAATGTACTCACAACTTTGAAACAGTCTCAGTTAATTTTAAAGAACATATAAAATGGATATTTTTCCACAGAAAAATAAAGTATTAGAACATGTTCTACCCCGTATCACTGTAGAAAATAAGTTGGATCTCCATCAGGTGCAAATGATACAGGACAGGGAGTGGGGATCAACCTAGTACCAGACCACAGCTGCCTGGCAAGTTACCTAACCAAGAGTTTAGTTTCCTGGAATGTGAAATAGAAGGGTGAAGATGATACCTTCCTACTTCTTCAAGTTCATGTGTGCTTGTTCTGCACATGAACCTAACTGATCAAAGAGCAGCTACAAGGACTAACTTTCTGCAGATATTTCTTCTCATAGTAAGAAACAAGGAAAACCATGGAGTCACTCTTGGTCTTAGAGAATGTTCTGAATGTTAACAGCAACAATGAGACAAAAGTGCTATCCTGCTTTTTATTTATTTTTTCCAGACTTCTTGTTGGGCAAAGAGTCTAAACCCATACTAAGCATTTTAAAAAAGGATAAAATAAACTTTATTCAAAATGATATATAATGTAAACACTGTGACAATAGGGCACAGAGAGGGAGAAGGAGAAATTAGGAAAACATGTTTTTGTTTCCAACCCAGTTTTCAGAAAAAGAATTCCAAGCAGCACCCAATGTAAGTCTTCATTTTTGTTTAATCGCCAAAGACTCCTCTCACCCAACCTCATGTTGGCTGTATCTTCAGAGAATGAAAAGGGTAAAAATGAGGAAATGAGAAAAATTAGGAAAATTTATTTTTATATCCTGCTACACTGCAAACACTTTCCAAACATCTATTTCCATATGGCAGGGTTTTTTTAGAACTGGAAGTTCTACATATTCAGCTTGGCTGTGCCTTGGTTAGATGATGGCAAACAAGCAAAACTCCCAAATAATCCAAAAATCTAACTGCCCAATCACTATCTTTGCCCTGTCCATACACACAATGAAATCATTACTCCTTTGCTACAGGTATGCAGTTCTGTTGGGACACATTTCTTCCTTCTAAGCTATTGCCTATTCATTTAGTTTATGTCTCAATTTATGTAATCTATTTATAAAACTACTAAACAATAACTACTGTAAACCATACTGTTTATCTCAACATTTATACTAATACTTCTTAGATTTGAATAATCAATGTTCATTCAGATTGCATTTAATTTATTTACTCGAGTCACTAAACTTTCAACTTGAGCCAAGCTGTGTGCGCTCAGGAGCAGGCTCTTTCAGTATGCAAAGGAAACATTCCCCTTAGGGCTGCAATTCACTAACCAAGAAAACCTATTGCATTTAAAGGTTTTTGTTTTAAAGTGAATACACCAAACTGCGCATTTATTCTTTTATTTAAAGTAAATGTTATCCCACTCCCAGGATCTCGGACCGCCCACAAAAAACAAGGCAGTCCTTGCGCTCAGGCGTACCCTCTAAAAAAGGCATCAAAACACGAAGAAAAAGGAATGGGAAGGAAATATAAAAAACAAGGAAAACACAACTGTCTTCCAACAGCCCGAAAGGCTGGCGATCCCCAGCTACGCGCTATTTATACGGCTGGACTCGGGGGGAAAAAGTCCCACCCAATCCAATAGGGTTTGCTCCAAGGCAAGCGTCCGTAAGGAATGAGGCCTGCAGCTTGGCCTGCTGAACGCTTGCCGAGCAGAAAGCCCCCTCCCCATTTGCTGGGGGGTTCCCTATCCCTGCTCATCCGAGGTTTAAGGTCCCACAAGTACCCAAAAGCGACGAAGGTGATCCCCACCCGAAGAGAGGGCAAGACGTCTTCGAGGAGGGCCTAGTAAATCAGCGACCATCTACCGCAAGCCTCCTCCCCTTCAGTCTGCCCCAACCCCGCCTCCTCCAGCCACTCATACACCGAGCCGAACTCGCTTCTCTCCCGGTTTGCTTGTGTCCGTCCTTCATGCTGTCCATAAACACTTCACCTCAAGAACCGTCCCTCCTCCACGTTTCTCGCCATGCAAGCGCGTCTGAGCCGGGTTCCCTCTCCGGGAAGCCGCTCAAGGCCTACAGAGCAAATGCGAGGCCACCCAACCCCGTCGCAGAGAAGGCCCGATGCGATGGCGGCGGCGGCAGGCCCCCCGCCTCCCTCTCCCTCTCCCTCCCGCGGCGCTGCGGTCGCGCACAACGGCTTACCAATCGGTCGGCGGCGCCCTGGTTCTGCCGCGGGTGCTGCCGCGAGCTCGGCTCGAGGCCCTCGGAGGTCCCTCGAGATCGCTAGGGGGGCTGCCGCCGCTGCTGCTGCTGCCGCCGCCGCCGCCGCCGTCGTCGTCGTCCTCCACCTTCGCCGACTTGGGGAAAAAGCTGAGCAGGCTGCTTTGGCGGGACATGGCGATGGCTGCTGAGGGGAAAAAGGAGCCGCCGCCTCAAGCGCGACGAGAAACCCGTTTCGCTGCCCAGCTCCCGCTCGACGAGCAGCGCGCGAAAGGTGCGTCCCCGCCCAGCGCGGCCCGGAGGAGGCGGGGAGAGGGGGAGGCACTCCCCGCGCGGGCCTCGGCGGCGAGCGAGAGAGCGGTTTGCCCTCACGTGGCGGAGACAAACAGTCGAGTCTCCGCCCGCCGCCACGGCTGCCCGCCAACAAGGCCCGTCACAGGCAGCCCGCCCTTCCCCGGAAGGGTGTTGTGCGGGGGCGGGGAGGCGGCCTCGCGGCAGTATTCCGCGCGGGAAACGAGGCCTGAGGCCTCCTCATGGCCCTTGTGAGGCGCTGCCGGGCGCGCCTGAGGGTCTCTTGCTGCGGTCCATGCATCCGAGTATTTTACGTGGGGAGAGGCGGTACTGCGGGCGCTACTGCCTTAGGCCTCTACATTGCTCTTCTTTGTTGTCCAAATATTGACTGGTTTGTGACCTTCCATGCTGTTGCCCAATGAAAGCAGGACAGGTGGTGTGAAGGTCTAAATTTATTATGCAAAATAAACGGCACCAGTGAGGCGCTACTTGGCCCGCCTAAGGGAGTTTCAGGCCCCGGTTCCAGGGAGGAAAGGGAATGCGTGGCCTTCTAGATGTGGCTCAGCTGCAGCTTCTATCATGAGCGTTGGCCGGGCTGGCTAGGGCTGATGGGAACTGCAGTCCACTATAAAATGTTAATTAACAAGTAAGGAGAAGCCCCATAGGTTCAGTGGGAGAACACAAACCTTGCAGACTAGTGGCCTCAGATTCAAAATGGCTGTTTCCAGATGAGGCTGGAGGAGACCTTGACCTGAAAGCTCAGGGAGCCATTGCAATTGGCATAGACCAGCGTGTATGGTTGCAGGTTGTGGTTGCCACCAAGTGTAGATGATGCACAGCTTCCTAATTGTAAGAAACCTTCTGTGTGGTGATAGATAATTGAATATAATAAAAACAGATGCTACTTATGCAGGTGCATGCATAAGAGCCAGAAAAAAAGACTTGTTTTGCTGCTGGGATCCAAGACGGGGACCCAGGAGAGTTCAGATAAATCATATGTTGTCAAGGTTTTTTGGTTTTTTTAGGAAAATAATATAAATTCCACTGAGTACAATACCCTGTCATACAAAGAAAGCTTTACAGTGGAGAGCTGATGGTTAACTTGCGGATTTTGATTTGAGAAAGGGATAATTGTCTAGAAATTCCAAATTTCAGGTGACCCAAGTATTTAACCTGAGGTCTCTTCACGTGGTTTATGTCCTTCTAGGGCTAGAAGAAATGTGATAGAATTAATTTTACAAGCTTCAAGAGATTGTGAAACCAACAATTTGTCTATAAATTAAACAAATACATTGTTTTAAACTTTATTGTTTAAATATTGTTTCAAAATGTGGGAAAATGAACAGGGGCTTTCATAATAACCCAAAAAGTGCTGTCTCCTCTCAAAGATGAAGATGTAAAAGAACCTCTCTTGGGATGGATAGAGATAGAAAAGAAACCTGAATAAAAGTGAACAACTGTAAAATACATTACAGTAGGTTGAATGTAAAACAAGTTGGTGGCTGGATTTGGAACAACTGGGGAAAAAAGGAAAATTGCTGAGTTGACTATTTGGAGAGCTTGAACACAGTGCTATTCCTTCTCCTCCTTCTCCCCCTCCCTTTTTTTTTTTTGGCTGGCCAGATAGGTCTGTTGCAGGGACTTACATGACGAATGAATATATGTTGTGCTGATGGTGGAAAGGAGAACTGACTAAATCCCTGCCTCTTCTTTTGTTCTTATGGATATTGGGGTATTCTAAACAGAAATTTGCTTAGGTTCAAAATAATTTTTACAGATAAGGTGACTATATAAAGGCCCACATACTTGCATTCTACAACCACAAAACTGGTGGTATTTGAGGTAAAATTCTTGCTTTAATACTGCTACTTTGAGACCAGGTTGTTACAGGATTTGCCTATTCCAACAAGATGCTAAGATGCATAGTATTTGTGGTTGCACTTCCACTGAAACTCCAAAATAAACATAATCTGTGCCACAATATAATGTTTGTATAACAGGTTACCACCTAACATATTCTTAGTTGACAATGGGCTCAACAGAAAAACATGCTATTCAGAAACGTGTCCTAATTTAATACTCAAGGATTCTGATGCAGGATGTGGAATGACATTGCTAGAAATCCCAACTGCATTTACTACTTCAGAAGTCAGAGCTGCTGATGAAAATTCACTATATTCAAAGTTGAATGACTAGGTTCTGTATTTACTAAGGAATAGGTGGGAATTTGATTTAAAATGCAAGTTACAAAAGGACCAGGTAGATTGAGAGGGCTCAAGGGGCAAGTGATGGTACAGGTTTGGGATATTTGAGTTGGCAGTTGGTATTCGGCTGACTGCCTAGCTGAGTGGCACACCTTTTTTTTTTTTTTTTTTTTGCTGTCCTGCTTGTCCCAAGTGGTTATATGTTGCAGGCATTTGGTTTCCTGGCTGATATAAACCTCTATCTCCACACCCTCTCCATGGTCCCTTCCCCTATTTCTTTTGGAATCAAACTGTTGAATCTGGCAGTTCATTATCTCAACCTCTTTGTCCTGTTATTTCTTTCTTGAGCCATTAGTCAATGATTTGCAACCTACAGGATTTAGCAAGTTAGTGGTCTGTATCTTACAAGAATAGTTTTGAACTGCTCACTAATTTTAGGAAAGTGAGCAGCACAATGGCATGTGGGGCAGTCATTTTGATGTCTCTGATATCTGGATGTTTGTTAAACATTTTCTTAAGTCTATCTAAATGGCCTGCTGCAAATTCTCCTTTTGTTTGTAATTGTTAATCTTTGTCTAGTTGCGTTTTGTATGGCATGCAATACAAATATTAGTCCCTGCCTTGCATCTTGATGAGCATTGCCATATCATAGAGCATGGGTCCCCAAACTACGGCCCGCGGGCTGGATCTGGCCTGCCATGCCCATTGATCTGGCCCGTCACGCATGCGCACACATGGTGAAGCACCAGCTTGCTCACAAGGAGATTGTTTTGGACTCGGGAGAAAATGATCTCTGCGCACGCATGCCCCTGCATTTCTGCGCGCGTGCATGCGCGCACCCCCCCCCCCCCCCCCCGGCCCAGCCCGCGCTCCCTGTCCTCACCGCCTTGGTGGCCCATGTCCGTCCCTGGCACCTTTCAACTGGCCCCCTATTCAAAAAGTTTGAGGACCCTTGTCATAGAGAGATAAATGGCTCTCTGGAGGCTTCTTTAGGTGCCTGAAGACTGCCCCTGGCAACACTAGTTTAAATCAACTCTTTCTTGCTTTCTTTCTTTTTATAACCTATCCACTACTGACGTTTCGGATGGCTTACAAAAAGCAACAAATAAAATTTAAAAATTGTATTTATTTATTTTTTTATTTATTAGGTTTCTTCCTTGATTGTTTTAACCAAATTTTTGAAATCAGTTAGGGTCTATGGAAAGTGTACAGTAATCAGATTTGTTGCTTTTCAGGAGCCTGTTAATTGGGGTTAGTTGTACAAGGTGGGTCATAAAGATCTCCCACATTTCAAGGGGGCACTATGTGTACTGTAGTTGGGGTAGAGAGGTGGGGTAGGTCTCATTTGGTAGGTTAGGCTCTACCATTTTCATTACCCATCATGAGTTGGACCGGTGAACATTGGGGCTTTGTTGTTGAAGCGTATTATGAGAACAACCATCCTGTGATAGCAACTCAGAGAGCTTTCCATACATGCTTTGCACTCAGATGAAATGTGTCTGTACTGGATCAGAAAACGATTTTGCTTTGGATTTCTAACCTTCAGTCAACTGGATCCACACTGAAAAGAAAATCACCTAGCAGACCTAGGACCGTTAGAATGCCAGAAAATGTAGAAGCAGTAAGAGCATCCATTCAGCAGTCACCAAGGCATTCTGCTCATAAGCATGCTATGGCACTGGGGATATCAAGCTGGAGTTTGAGGAGGATTCTGCATGCTGATTTAAAGCTGCATCCTTACAAAATGATGTTGGCTCAAGAATTAAGTAAGAGAGATCATGTCAGCCGCAGAGTCCTAAGTGCAGAAATTCTTGATTCCTGAACAGGTTCCTGCTGCAGCTATTCTGGGTCGCAATGAGGCTTACTTCCATATAAGTGGAGCCATAAACAAGCAGAATTTTCGCTACTGGGCTAACCCTCGTGAACTCCAGAATGACCACTCCACTCTCCTCATATAACTGTTGGGTGTGCAGTTGCTGACTTTGGTGTGATTGGCCCCTACTTTTTTGAGGAAGATGGTGCAACAGTAACTGTGACCTCCAACTGGTACACTGAAATGTTGGGGACCTTTCTGCGCTCGAAACTGGACGATGTGGATACAGAACGTGTGGTTTCAACAGGACAGGGCCACAGCTCACACAGTATGATGTTCGCTTGAAGTGTTGAGGAAAATGTTACCTGGGTGTTTGATCTCTTTAAGGGGAGATGTGGGGTGGCCCGCATGGTCACCAGATTTAAGGCCACATGACTTTTTCCTTTGGGGAAATATCCTCAATCTCTTGAGGATTTGAAGGAAAGGATCAGACAGGAAATCAATGCCATTCTGCCTGAGATTAACCCAGAGAGTGATGGAGAACTTGTGGGAACGTCTTCAGCAATGTATTGCCAACAGTAGCTGCCATTAGTTTGATATGATTTTTAAAATTCATTAAAGCAAAACTGTTTTTATGTACTTTTCAGAAATATATGCAATTTTTTTCTAGATAGCTTCGTTCATTTTTATACCTCTTCAAAATGTGGGAAATCTTTATGCTCCACCCTATACATGCCGCTTTTCAGTATTTTAACTGTGAGTTCAGGAATTTAGCTGTCAAGACCCAAGGCAGCCTCGGGGCTCCCTCTGCTGGTCAAGGACAAGCGCAGCAGCCCTGATAGTTTGCAGGATTGCTACTGGGAGAAGATCTATATAAGAACTGGCTCTTCTCCCCAGAAGCTGCCTCAGCAGCAAAGGCTTCCTGAGTTTCTAGAGTGCTTCGGGTTTGTGGACCCTTGGACTTTGCTCCTGCCTCAATC